GGCGGCTGACAGATTTCTTAAAGCTTGTTCTCCTAGCAGAGGCCCCTCAGGGGTATGGATACTGAGGGCTTCTGGGAGTGCTATGAGACCTGAGGAAGAAAGGGGCCTCTCAGGGGCATGGATACTGTGGGCTCCTTTGGCATTCAGAAAAAGGGTTACCAATAATTTCTGTCCCTTTAAATAATAGAAGCCAGATGTTGCAGCTGGCAATGTCTAATGAACAACATTTCTAATCGCTGAAAAGCAGAGTCCAAGGTCTCTAGCTTTTGGGGCTTACAAATTAAGAACATTAGTGTCTTAATGCAAGCAGAAGAATCTGAAGAAGCAAGTGTCTGAGTGCAAAAATCCAAGACATGGAAACTTGGAGAGAACATCATGTGATTTGCCTGCTTGTCGCAGCGCCAGAGCGTTACAGAAACAGCCAGTCTGCACAAGGCACATGGTGTGAGTGTATCCAGTAGAACTTCTGTTTGACCCAAAGCATGTGAAAGCAACAATCTTCTGTGTCTTCAAGCCAAAGTTAACATTAGTTAAATTCATTTTTTTCATGGCCAGTTCCATGTGGCTTTCCTTCTGAAATCAGTGTTAGATTTAGAGGTTTTATTATTGTTACTGGTGGGGAGGTGAGGAACAACAGTTTATATCAATGCAACAGTTTCAAAAATCAGCAATAGTGATTCTGAAAACAGAGATTGCAGTACATTAGAATGCATGTATTTTGCCTGAAAGCATTTGGATTTTAAAAGAAGGTATTCAAGAGTTTTGAAGTGTAAAAATGAAAATGGATTTTAGTTTTTCTAAGGAAAAGAGTGTAATGGAAGTAAAATTGTGGAGCCTGATGCAATCATACATTTGTTTGGAAGTTAAATTGAAATGAATTCACCTGAAAGAGATCTCTAGGCACAGAGTATGTGAAACTCAGGAGTGTCATGTATATGAGATCCAAAAGGAGATGAGCTTAAAAGCATGGCCTGTTGTTCAGTAGAAATGTGTTTTACTTTGAGCTTCTGCTATGGAGTCAGAACACTTTGCAGGCACTGGGTGTTTACACTTGCTTTTTAAAACCAATCAGAGTTGAGACTGTCAGATCCTGAATTCTATGTGCTATCTGTTGGTAAATAATATGAATCATTGAGCAGAGTCCTGTGGGGGAAAAACCACAGCTCCCATCCCACTTGGATAGTTGCTACTTAATTCAAACTAGGTCTGAGATGACTAATACTTTTTCAGATCAACAATTATTATCTGGAAAGAGGGAAGTCATTTTAAGCAAATTCTTCTGGCCATCATCTGGCAAGAACCTAATCTGCTAGTTCTTTACCCTTTTTAGCCTATAACCTGGAAAAGCTGGCAGGAAGAGGTGCCGTTAGCTGAATTTCCCGGTAATCAGAGCTAATTATAGTTTTTTTCTCCCTTACCTCCCTACAGGAACATGCATGGCTTCATGAAGTGCAGTTTGTAGGTTGCATATAGAAACCCAAGGGCCCTAGAATGGCCCCCAGCAGGCCTGGTCCCTTGTTGCTGTTACATGCCATCAAGTCACCTTCGACTTAGGGTAATCCTATGAATGAGCTCTTGTAAACTCAAATCTGTTGTTCTTTTGTGGAGCTGATCCACCTCATGTTTGGTCCTCCTCTTTTCCTACTGTCTTCAACTTTTTCTAGCATTAATGTCTTTTCTTGTTATTCTTGTTTCCTCATAATATGCCCAAAATATAGGAGCATCAGTTTAATCATTTTTGCCTTTAGAGAATGTTCAGACTTGACTTGATCTTTCTTTTGTTTTTCTGGCTGTCCAAGGTATCCCTAAAGCTCCTCCTCCAGCCAACTTTCTTTACTGTCCAGCTTTCACATCTGTACATAGTAACTGGAAATGTAACAAACGTGGCATTGTTCTCCAGGAAAACCTCCTTACACTGGATGATCTTCTTGAATCAGTGGAGATTCGGTGAGTCAATTGATCCTTAAGTTCCATTGGTTTAAACAGGCCTATTCTAACTGAAACTTAGTTTAACACAGTAAATTACTGTGTAGGCCCATTTGAATCAATGGATGAATTGACTCACCAAATATCCACCAATTCAATGAGCCTTCTAAGTGAGGCTGGCTCAGCTCAAGTGATCTGGTAACCGAGTCTGCCTGATGCACAAATCTACTATGCTTCCTCCTTGTAAAGCAAGCAAAAACATCAGGTAGAACCACTCTCACACCTCCCTAGACACATCAACCTTCAAACATACGGACTAGACATGGGATATTTGTATTTATATCCCTAGGGATATGAAAATGAATATCGGCACCACAGGTGACTGGGAAAACTGGACCCTCCCCCCCCTCAAACTGGCAGGTCCACTTACTGCTTGTTGTGAGCATGCACAGCCAGCATCATTCTTGTTGCGCCAATTTGGGAAGAAGCCTGGCTGGCACTTATCCGCCTCCTCAAGCAGCCAAACACTCTGATGAGGAGGCAAGATGGCAGGTTTTCCTGCTCAGCTGTTGAGCAGTTGGCTGTGCAGGGAAGCGATAACCGGGCTGCTTCCAGGATTGGCGTGACAAGAACAACGTTGTCTGTGCACACCACAAGGTGAGCAGGAAGTGGACCTGCCAGTTTGGGGGGAGGTCTGGTTTTCCCAGGCACTTGAGGTGCTGAGATTTGCATTTTTTTTATCCCCAGGGATGTGAATATGAATACCCCATGCCTAATACAGACACAAAACTGTCCCACTGGAATACACCTGTGCACACTCAGGCAGTCCCTCCACAAAACAGAGAAATCCCAACCACACTGATCATTCCTTCTTGATCCCCCAGCTGCATCCCTTCAGCTCCCTAAGCCTCTCACATAGCTTTCAAACATTTTTCTTTTTTGAAAATGTTTGGCTGGCAGACCAAGCTAGGCAGGCGTGCAGGAGCCCAGCTGCCAATCCTTTCGCAGGCGTGCAGGAGCCCAGCTGCCAATCTTTTCAAAAGAAAGTACAGTGGACCCTAAAATTACAGACGGCTCCACTTCCAGACTTTTCGAGTTACAGACTTCTCTGGCCGCAAAATTTAGGTTTGACTTGCAGCCGGAGAATTGACCTACAGACCGGGAAAAAAACCAAAATGGAACAAAAACGGCCGGTTACGGATTAATCGGTTTTCAATGCATTGTAGGTCAATGGAGCCTCGGCCTACAGACCTTTTGACCGGTAGCCACCGTTCCAATATGGATTAATTCTGTAAGTCGAGGGTCTACTGTATGTGGGACCAAAGACATTCTTGGAAAGAGGGCAAGGTAGCTAAAAGCCAGAGATTTGATTCCCAACTGCCCAAGGTTAAAATATTAACAACAACAAAGCTTTAGCTAAATAATTTAGACCCTGGGCTAGAAATTCCAGGTAAGAACAATACTGTACAAGGGATCTTATATAAGAAATGCTCTCTTGCTGTCCTATTGCGGTGGAGTCTGTGTGTGTCTCTTCTTGCCATTTGTGCTTTACCAAGCAAATTAAAACAAAGGCAGTATTTCATGTGAATTTGAGGGCTAAGAGAATCAGGGAACTGTCAATCACATGCAAACAGGATATTTTGTAAAGAAAAATCACCAGAGAAGAACTGCCATATGGGCTTGGCAAAATAACTATGTATTTTAAAAAGTTAGAGGTGAATAAGAAGGGGAATAGCTATAATGTGACTCTGAAGACAGTTGGGCCAGGGCAATCATGCCCACTGGCAGTCTTACAAGATTCCCTGTATAACTGCCATGGAAGCAGTTCATTGCGTGCTTCTTTTGTCAAACCATATTGAATGGCACCAAGGTTATTGGTAGCTGAATCTTTCCACCGAAAAGATGCACTGGATGGAACTGAAAATGCTGGAAAGGAAAAACAGTTTAGTTTGAGCTGTGGATCTGCATCTTATACTTTGTTTTGGACCTGATGTAATTTCTTACACCCCATCTGCCCATTTATTTGATCTGTCATCTCCATGCCCCCTTTGGCAGGAGCAATCCACATGTGAAATTCACGACAGCTTTGTTAGGGTACGGCCTAGTTGCTCTCACCTTTTTCATTAATACCTGTACTCCCATTACCAAAAAAGTAGCCATGTTAGTCTGTCTCACCATGCAAAATTAAAGAGGGGGGGAGAAGGAAAGGCAAAATAATGTGGTATTTTAAAACTTGCACATTTGTTTCAGTGTGAACTTCTGCAGATCAAAATCCACCTCTTTTGGTATTTGAATTTATTTCTCGGCTATTGGTTGATAGTTTCATTTGTTTTAATAAGTGCTCAGTAGAGAGAAGGATGAATATTGATGTCTGCCTCTTTCTTGTTGAGGGTTAAATTAGACATAGTACCAGTAGTTCTTCACTTGTGAAATCAGACTAACAGTTGAAAGAAATCTGTAGATTTCTTCAGTTTAAAGACATTCCAAGATGAAAAATGCAGGCAAGATTCAATGTGATCAAATCAAGAAATTCATTTTCTCTTATGTTTAAATTTTTACACCAAAGGCAGTTTAAATATCAAAGCAATATTAAAAGCAAAGAACATCTTTGAAAGAAAAGCCTCTCGCTCATTCCCACGCAGCATTCAGGTCTGAAAATCTCCTGGCTTGTTCGAACAAGATCTACCCTACACTGGAGCCTTTTGCAGTTTATCGCGGTTAGAGCTCCGGAACTTCTGCTCCTCGGGTGGGGGGAAGAAAAGCACACCATCTTTCTCACATAGACACGCCCCCCCCCCCAATGAACACAACTGGGTTTACAAGCAGATTGTGGTCGAATTTGGAGAGGGTACGTTGTCTCTACGGAGTCGAAACTGAGCTGAGCAGCCACAACCGCCGGGCAAGCATTTTTTAACTTCCCGCGGTTGTGTCCCGACCCCGCCTCCTTTGCTTTCATTAAGCCAATAGGAGGCAGAGAAGAAGTCGGGTGCCAATGACGCTCGAACGCGATGGGTCATGGGTGATGTATTTTTCTCAAAGGCTACTGCCATAGGCACTGCCTCTGGAAGAACTACGTTCCCCACAAGCGACAGGAATGGCTCCCGTCTAACTGAGAAGAGTGCGACGCAGCTGACTTGCGGCCTGGGACCTCAAGTCTTCCTCTCCACCCACCGGACCTTTGCTTCACAGGTGAGGCGCAGCGGGGAGGTGCTCCGCACACGGACCGCCTGGAGGCAATGGAGGCTCGTCGCGGACTCAGATTTTGCCGCGTCGCACCTTTCGTATTTAAAAACGGAGGTCTGTACCGAGCGGGCCTTCTAGTAGCGAGTTGCCGTTGTGTCCTTTAAGGGCTAAGAGCGGTGACAGCTGATCAGTGGCATTATCCTCACTTGAGCTGCTGTGTCGCCTCTACAAATAGAAAGGAGTAATTTCTTGGACTGAGATGCTAGGCAGTTCACTTTATAATAATCATCATGTGCCGTCAAGTGTGGCGAGCCTTTTCAAGGGTTTTCAGGTAGAGGATACTCAAAAGTGGTTTACCCTTCTCTTCTCCTGATGGGTTCTTGGTCTCTGTTTCTTTAAAACTGAAGGCAAATAAATGAGTGTTTAGCGAGTTAAATCTCTCTCTAAATAACATATGTCTTCGTTTTCTTTGTTGGGAACAAAGCAAATGAGGTGCTATTCTGGTCATTTCATTCCAATGCAAGATGAATCTAATGATTCTTCTGTGCTCCTTTGAATAGGAATTTATGCACATTTGTTACTGTGTACAGTGTTATTCCTGCTGAGAAAGTAGGAGCTGGCTTTCTTTCCTGCCCGATTAACCGTAACTTGTTTCACTGCTATTCATTTTGCTCCTTAGATGGAAGAACAAGCAGCCAGCAGCATGAAACTGCAAGCGGTTCAGTTACTGGCAGATGAACAACTGCTGGCTCTCCATCATCAGATGGTGGAAAGCCAGGCTTCCTATCACCACAAACTACAGAGTTCACAGGAAGCACAGCACAGGCAGGCAATACTTATCCAAAAGCTACAGACAAAGGTAAAACTCCATACACAGCCAGTGATACACAAAAGAAGACAATGATAAATTTTGTGTGGGGAATTGTGGGCAGATACAGAAATACGAAATAATGAAGAATAATGTGCTTAGTGGAAAATATAGTTCACCACTTTGTAGGTGAACTACACCACCCATTAAGGATTTTTTTTGCTAGGTTTTTACTTTGCAATCATTCTCTTTCAGTTAGGGAGACCTTTTGTGGGCTAACCATACTTTCTTGCTTTCCTTGGGTAATCCTCATATGTTTTCCCACTACCTCCTCCACCTTTTTCTTTCTGCTAAATAAAAAAATGTCACAAAGGGTGTTCAGTGTCTTTGGTAGCACCAGGAGCTTTCTATTTGGAATCACCTACTTTTCCTGATAATGCTACTTTATTTTAATGAGAGGTTTCTTGTTACCTATGGCACACCTTCCTTTTTCTATCCAAAGGCACTTGCATTGACTGAGGAGATAAACGTTTTCTTGTTTACTCCTCTTGATTTTGGGTAAGTCACGGACAGCACAATTGATTTTAAATGTCATCTTAATATGATATTCCAGTTTGAAAATAAGCATATAAGCATCTCTTTAAAAATAAGCATATACTGTAAGTTCAGCCTTGTTGTAAAAGGACCACTTGTAGTCTTTGTACATAATGTGCTGTTTGAAGTGTACAAAGTCATTCCAAAACAAAGAGAGGTGCCCAATAATAAACTTAATAAACTTAATAATAAACTTAAACCATTATAAATGCCACAGAAGGCGCTGCAGCACATATACTCCAAGAGGCATATACTATCTGTTTCTGTTTACTGCAGGTCTTGCACTACCGGAATTGGTGTAAAGAATTAGAACAGCATCTAAAAGCAGCCAGAGTAAGTTACAAAGGAAAGGACTAACACATTTTTGGGGGTAATTATGTTGTTTACAACAGAATGCTAGTGAGGTACCACAATAAAGGAAAATACTTTACTGCTCGGGGTACAGTACCTGGAGGAGTACATTAGTTCTGATCTGGAAAAATAAACTTTTTTGTTGTTGTTTAGTCGTGTCTGACTCTTTAAGACCCTATGGACCAGAGCACACCAGACCCTCCAGTCTTCCACTGCCTCCCGGAGTTGGGTCAAATTCATGTTGGTAGCTTCAATGACACTGTCTAACCATCTTGTCCTCTGTCATCCCCTTCTCTTTCCTTCACACTTTCCTAACATCAGGGCCTTTTCCAAAGAGTCTTCTCATGAGATGGCCAAAGTATTGGAGCCTCAGCTTCAGGATCTGTCCTTCCAGTGAGCACTCAGGGTTGATTTCCTTTATAATGGATAGGTTTGTTCTCTTTGCAGTCCAGGGGACTCTCAAGAGCCTCAATTCAAAAGCATCAATTCTTTGGTGGTCAGCTTTCTTTATGATCCAGCTCTCACTTCGATATATCACTACAGGAAAAACTATACCTTTGACTATGCGTACTTTTGTTGGCAAGGTGATATCTCTGCTTTTTAAGATGCTGTCGTGGTTTGTCATTGCTTTCCTCCCAAGAAGCAGGCGTCTTTTAATTTTGTGGCTGCTGTCACCATCTGCAGTGATCATGGAGCCCAAGAAAGTACAATCTGTCACTGCCTCCATACCTTCCCTTCTATTTGCTAGGAGGTGATGGGACCAGAGCCCATGATCTTAGTTTTTTTGATGCTGAGCTTCAGACCATTTTTTGCACTCTCCTCTTTCACCCTCATTACGAGGTTCTTTAATTCCTCCTCACTTTCTGCCATCAGAGTGGTATCATCTGCATATCTGAGGTTGTTGATATTTCTTCCAGCAATCTTAATTCTGGTTTGGGATTCCTCCAGTCCAGCCTTTCACATGATATCTTCATATAAGTTAAATAAGCAGGGGGACAATATACAGCCTTTCCCAATTTTGAACCAATCAGTGTTTCCATACTGTTGCTTCCTGTCCCATGTATAGATTTGTCAAGAGATCGATAAGGTGGTCAGGCACTCCCATTCTTTAAGGACTTGCCATAGTTTTCTGTGGTCCACATAGTCAAAGGCTTTTGCATAGTCAATGAAGCATAAGTAGATGTTTT